CTCTTTTTAGCACTTTTCCAAAAAAATTTTTGAAAAAAGTGCTTATTAGTTTCACTCTGTCCGTCCGTCCGTCCGTCCGTCCGTCCGTCCGTCCGTCCGTCCGTGTGTCTGTTTACAAAACTTCTACACCCTTGAAGATAGAAAGCTGAAATTTTATATATACATAGATCTTTACTAGAAACTTATTTCCGTAGAACAAAATTTTTACCTATCTCCCCCCCTCTAGAAGTTATACCCCCCCAAAACCATAAAAATGGCCTTTTTTAAATATTTGTTGCAATGAAACCATAAGTATTTTTGAAATTTTGCAAACGCAGAAAGGCAGCGGCTTGCTTCCCCTAGCGCGGTATACTATAGTTAAACTTTAGAAAAACAAAATGGCCGTTGAAATTTACCGTTATCTAAAGTCCTTTTTTGCCAAATTTTTGATGTCGTTTTTCTTCTAGATCCTATATTCTAGAACTTTGAAATTTTAGGGGCTTTTAGACATTAACAAATAGTTCATTTCGTTAGAAGAAATTTTTTTTCCATCTCCACCCCCTCTCAAGTTATCACCTCTTGAAAATCGTAAAATTTGAATTTTTGACACCCTATATTTCCGAAACCGCAAGCTTTTCCAAATTTTTATAAACGCAAAAAGCTAACGGTAAATTTCGTGACACTAAAAAATATAATTATTTTTCTTAACTCACACAATTAACCCTTAAAATCGAGCATTATGTTAACCCCTTTTTATGTTAATTTTTGCTTTATTTCAAAGACTGCATATATGCGTCATCCTAAATATATGCAATCCTAGTAATAGTTTTGTATATGAATGAAAATAATTTTTATAGTGTGATAGGTATACATAGACTGTATTTAAAAGCAGAATTTTCACTTGTTGAAGGGAAAAGTGCTACAATACAAACCATTGGTTTGACCCAACTTTATTAATATTCATGTGTACTCGAAAAAGATTCCAATATGCAAAATATGTGTAGGTATACATATTTATTTTTTATAAAATCTATATTTGTATATGTGTCTATGTATTTAAAAGAGTAGATATAAAAACCAAAACTTTGTTCCACATATAACAATACCATAGAGTATGTAAATCATGTGTATTATAATAGAAAACGTTAATTAAAATTATGCAAGTAAATACATATGCAAATAAATATTATATATATATATATATATATATATATATATATATATATATTTTTCAAGGAATTCTTTATTGAATGAAAGATATAGATTTTTAAATATGTATATGTGTGTATATTTTGTGTAGGCGTACAAAATCAGATTGTCTTCGAAAAATTTCTTTTGAATTCATATAATATTAAACAATAGACTTATAGGTTATTGTCCTTGTTCACACATTTTAATATTGGTACTTCTTGTATTAAAAAATATTTGAAGAATCTCATACATATGCATATATTATCCTTAATTAATATTTCTATTATCGGTGAAGAATAAATGAAATTTTCACAAAATTAAATATCGTATGAAAATAAATGGATATGTTGAAATTAATAAAATGTATTTGCACAATATACATATTTGTACATGTATACAGATGAATCTTTCTATATCGAACTGCCAAAATCCTAAAAGTTTTGTTTGTTAAAATCATAAACGAATGATCACAGTCAAACAAATTGTTCGTTAAATAAATATTATTTTGATATATGCATAAGTTTTTTATATAATGATTTTACTGTATTTGGTTTATATAAAAAGTAGTCTTTTTTGATTACAATTAATTTTACAAGCGGAACTATTCTCAATAATAACATATTATTCTAATTTTTAACAAATATACATAGGTTTGCAGAAACATCAAAAACTTGTTAACATACAATTTGTCTTAAATGGTTTCTTATATTTTTATCAATTAAGAGAGAATGATTGAATATTTATAAGAACTTCTTAATATTTTTTAAAGTTTAACATCATTCAGTTCAATTATATTTTTTTCTGATTATTTTATTTTCAATTTATTTGTTTTATTGTTTCAATGGTTCCATAATTAATTTGTCTTAAATATGTAATTAAATTTTTTAAATAATTTGTCTTATTGTGATCTTTATATCTGTGAAATAGACAACACATATTTAGTATATTGATTTGAAATAAAAATAAAATTATAAAAGATTTTAATGTGAAACAGTTCGCAAAACTCGTTTTTCATCAAAAGTATAGTTTAGAAAATATTCAAACTTTTAAGATTTTCTAACAATAATAAAAAAACTCTCGGTTCACGAAAAACATTTTAAATTTTAAAGTTAGATAAAGCGATTAAAAATCTATTGTTTATATTTTTAATTTAAATAAATTAATAAGGTTGTCTGAAATTAAATTAAAATATTGTCAAATAACGTGTAAGAATATAGATAATAAACTTAACAATTTTTACAATCCATGTATGAAAACCCTTGAGGATTGCTTGTAGGAATTTTTAGTATCACAAATGTAAAATATTTAATCAAAGAATTAATTTATTGTAGGAAAATGTCTTTTGTTTCCTTCAAAATCGCATTGATATTTGAAAATTTAATCACCTGAAAATGTTTTCCAGGCGAACTAATGTCTTTCGTACCGTTTTTAGCAGTTAAAAGAATTTTCAATTTACCAGTTATAAGAGCTTAAATTGGGTCAAAAATTTTGTAAAGCTCATCAAAATGAAAAATTTCAATGAACAGAATTAGAATAGCGATTCTTATGTTTGCATAAAGTTTTGTAACGTTAGAGATTTTCATAAACGCATAATACAGCCAAGCAATAACGTGATATACTCAATATATTTTTAATATTATAGTTGTTTAAAAGTAAAATATCAAAGCAAATTGAGCTGCGCCTTTTATAACAATTGAAAAGTCAGAATTGCATATGAACAAAATTTGTTCGAATCATTTATTTATGAACACTGATATAGAGCAGTTTCGGCACTCGCTATAATGTCGTGATATATTATGTTTATGAAACCTGCTATTGATTAAGCTGTTAAAATATTTTCCGGTATAGAATTTTTCTAAGAAATTTTCATATATAAATGTAATTAAGAAAATTATGTATAAGAACAGAAGTGTTATTTTCAAAATTAATATGCGGTGTGTGGGTTTTATGCTATTAATTAACAAAATTTCTATATCCTACGGGAATAAAAACATTTTTTGTTTTTGTAATTTTGCATGTGATTATATGTGCCTAATCATTTTTATGTTTTCTGCGTGTCTAATATATGCAAGGAAATTGTGTGTATAATAATGTACAGAATAAATTATTTTATCCTAAAAATAATTATGTACTCGTATTTAACATGTTATTAGAATAAAGAGCTTATAAAATGACACAATATACATAGATGAAAGAGTTTTACATAAAAAGCTCGTAGATGTGTGGTAAGTGTGTTGATAAATTCATTTAAGTAAAATATGTTATTTTTTTTGCTAAATTTTAAATAAATATTAATTTTTTTGAATTTTTTAAATTTTATATAATTAGATTGACGGGATAATTAAAATATGTTTCTTGAAAAATGTTTATACTTATACATAGCTAGCTATTTTCTCTTTTGATTTTTTTAATCTACATACAATGTTGTCAAAATGAACTTATTCCAGCTCAAAATACTATATTAGTATTATGTATTGAATTTTAATGAGCTTATAATTGCATATTAAAATAGAATTTATAATTTATTTTTAATAATCATAAATAATTTTATATTTTCACTCTAATCTATTTAAAATTTATCAATATGATTTTGATAAGGATATTTTTTTGATTAGCTTAAAGGTAGTAATCAAAAATCAAATATAATAGAAGCACAATATAACAAATAGGTGCAATAAATAAAACATAACTAAAAGAGGAAAAAGAAAATTTCAGAAAATTTTAAATATGAGAATATTTGTTTTTCAATAAGCAAAACCACATTGCGTTTTAGTCACACACGGCCGCGGACCCTAAACTTTTTGTATATAGAAATTTATGTAAAGCTGCTCACACATTACGTTCCGTAAAACCGTTTTGTTCCTTGTAAAATTAAAGTTTTAGCATATTATTATTATCAACGTGCTTATAAATATTTACATGTATATGTTAAGTAATATTATATTTTAAAATTTTACATGACGGTAGCGTGTTTTAATAAATTAATTTGATTTTAAAGCTTAAAATATTTATGACTCCTTTCATACACATAATTCTTTTGTTAATTATCCTTAAATTTAATATTTTTTTTTATATCAATAATATTATACACATACTACATATATATTCCAGTACCCTATTAAATTAATTGAAATTTTATATTTATTTTTTAAAACATATTGTTTTCTTTTTTACTTTTTTTTTTTTTTTGAAAAAATTTTACTTGTTGAATTCGATAAATGGTTGTGCTGTTATATGCGCAACATGAAAACTTTTCATATTTTGTTTTAATGCATTAAGGATGACAACATTTCTTGGAAAATTTCCAAAAAATTTTATAAAAAATCATAAAATATAATAGTTATAGTGCACTTTTGCTTTCATTTTATCATCATTCTTTAAAGTTTTCAAGACATGAAGAACAAACAATTTGAAATAATGCATATATGTAAATAAAATGTTCTATACATTTATCTCACCAGTTTATTTGTTCATTTGAAAGAGTTCATGTTGTCCTAAGTTAAAATAACAATTTGATGAATTTAATGTGAAATTTAATAAGATGTATAGAAAAAAGTAGCAAACTGAAATGTAAGGATATTGTTAAATCATTAACATATGTTACATTCTCTTATATGCATACATATGTTGTGAGTTTTATATATTAGAATATGGAACGATATTAGAATGTAGGATAATATGTTAGAATGGAAAAATTCGAATTATAATTCAATAGATTCATGGCATTCCTGCATCATGGGTTTATAAAACTAAGCTATACGTATTATTCTAAAAGCATTTTTATAATATTTTTGAAAAAAACTTATATCTTTTGATGTTAACACACTTACCCATATTTGTAATTTAACCCTTTTATCATGACGAAAAACTGTTTTCACTTTAAAATCAATACCAACTGTTGATACAAATGCCGATGTAAATGAATCATCTGCATATCGAAATAGAAAACTTGTTTTACCAACACTTGAATTTCCTATTATTAATAGTTTGAACATATAATCGAAGTTTTGATCTGATGCATCTTTTTGCATACCGGCGCCAGCCATCTAAAAAAACAATTAAAAAAAAACATTTTTTTTTATTAAACACTTATACTTTTTAAAGTACACAATACAATGTGTTTTTAATACATTTTCCTTTTATATATATAAAATTATAATAATTGCATAAATTACGTAAAAGCTTATAAAATATTAAATGAATTATTTGAATATTGTAATTTGTATGGTATGTATGTATATGATTTTAAAATATATTAATAAAACTATGAACGATATACTTGGTTTGGGGGGGGGGGGGGGAAATATAATTTTATTATAATTTTTAAACATTGAGGGCTATAGACATTATTTTAACAAAATTAAAATTTAAAAATATTAATGCTTACGTATACTTACCGTTCATTCATGAGTTTGTAAACGAATAAATTCAATGATATTTGTAATAAGTAAATTTTGTTTAACCAATTAGGTTTTTAAGTTATAAAGAAAATAATATTTAAACTACTATTATAACAGTTGAAAAAAAATTTAGGGTCGATTCACATTATATCGAGATGAGAAGAGAAAGGTTAGTTTTTTTAACTCTAGAGCCGTACACCATGCCTAGACCGTTTTGAATTTTGATTTGTTAAGGAATTATTCACACCATTTATTGGTTTTAACGTAGCACGGTTTTCTACCAACTATTGAATAATTAAATTTGGAAAATATTTTCAAATAAAATTTAAAATTCAATATAAGACAACGTTTGCAAAACAAAAGTTTAAAGAAGGGTTTTTGCTGGATTTGGATATGGCGCAAAACTCGAATTATTTTAAACCATTTTTTGTTGTTCTCGGAATTTTTCCACAGTAAAAGTCTCTTAAGCGGAATTTTGTTTACATTATAAAATACTTTTTTAAACACCATCAGAATGAAATTCTATAACCTTCTACATAAATTGGATAAACAAGTAAGAACACCCTATGAATAGAAAAAATGAATATATGCAGTCATTCTTAGACTGATCGTATCCATTATGTAAGATAATTTTTTATTTCAATTTTATAGAAAGTGTACTAAAATATCATATTCGTATTATAATACACATTCATGGCTGTATGTATAAATTTACCATACTAAGAAATTCTTTAATATTTCATTTAAAAAAACAAAATCAATTAAATCACATTATTGAACAAAAAAGACAAAATGAGTGTTATAAGTTCCTCCTTAATCCTTATTTTAATAATAATAATAGTATTATAATTTTTCAAAGTTCCTATAGAGATTAATTAAATAAGTTTTATACTTTTTATTATTTTTAATTATATAATAATCTCAAAGGATTTAATTGTATGTTTATGTGTGTGTGTATAATTTCAAATAAAAGTTGATTTTTTTTGTTATATAAACTCAGTTTGATTTTTTCAATTTTATTTAATGAGATCTGTTTTACAATAATAAGCGATCGACATCTTAAAAGCACTTCCAAATTATCAATATTTCAGAATGTGATTGATGACCAATTAATTTCACGTTGTGGACCAATTGATTTGTGGACTAAGCCCTTGATTTGCATCCGAAATTATATAATTGAAAAACTCTTGACTATACTTTCTTCGGGGGATATGTGAAATTTAGTTTTTATTTCGGCCACGTGACATCAATTTTAGTTTTGGGTTGGGGTTAGAAAATTGAACCACTAGAATTGATTATTAAATAGTTGCTGTGGCCAATCTTTACGTGAAATTTTTAAGAAGAAAATGAAAACAAGTATAATTTCCCGATTTTAAAATAACATGTTATTTTGAAAATTTTCAGTGCGTTCCTTTAAATTTAAAAATCAAATGCCTACAAAATCACCCATTTATTATTTTTTTATTAAAAATTTAATAATATTAATATTAAATTTTTCATTAATCGTATTATATATAACATTTACTTTTTTAATGTTTTCAGTTGGGTTTTTGCTTTTAATAATTAAATTTGGAATTGGAAATTTGGTAAGGAATTTTTTTAACTTTAAAGTATTAAATAATTAATTTAATTTTTATGATTTTTAACGTAATAATTTTGAATGAACGCAAAGTACTGAATATTATTCCACTATTAGCAATATTTGGAAAGGATAACCAGAAATTTAAACTCTAAATGATATTATTGAGTAGCATCAAAAATTTTTACTATTTTCAGAAAATTTTGTATAAAAGGGAAGAACTTTTGCTTAAAAACTATATGAGGAGATAGTATGAATACAAGAGTAGACTATGCTCCAACATTTTTCTTTTCAGTCAGAAATTAAGTTCCATAAAATTTTTATAAATCAAATTTTAACACATTTGTAGCATTGAAGAAAATTTAGAAATTATCCTTAAATTTAGTAGCCTCCTGCTTTCAAATAGAACCAAAAAAATTGTTCATTTTGAGAAAAAATTTAAAATATTTTTTCTTTGTCTATTCTTATCAGAAAACTTTTGTTTCTTTTTTTTGTATTTTTAAAATTAAAATGTCTAAAAAGTTTTCATGGTAACAGCTTTCAAAAAAAATAAAATAAAATGAAATCTGACAAGATACTCGTATTCATCGTACATTTAGATACTTTTTTATTCTTAAATTGTGTCTCCCTTTTTATATACTTACACATCCATACATATATTAGTAAATTTATAATTTTATGCTAAGATGTGTGTGTACTTGGAGAAAACTTGAAAAATTTTTAAATAACATTTTTTATTATGCAATATCACATATTTTTTTCACTCATTTCATTTATTCATTGTTATTTCAATTGTCTTTTATGAGAAGGGTCATGAACAAAACAAAAAAGCTAACCGACTTTCTAATAATAATATGTATGTATTATGTATGTTGTTTAGGGAAAAATGAAAAACATTTAAGAATGAAATGAATGCATACCTACACGATAAAACAGGAAATTCCCACTCAACACAAGATATACACATTACAAAAACCAAAAAAAAAAAGATAAAAATTGCATAACTAAATTCTTGTTCTTGTAACAACAAAGAGTTTTAAATAATGCAAGCAAATATGTTTTAACATAAGTACTCAATGCTTATATACACCTTATCTATTCTTATTATAACATATACGTTGTACATATATTTGTGCACTATTTAATAAGCATATTTTCATACAGATATACACACATAAGTGCGTTTGATGTTAATATAATTAATAATGTATGATAATTTTGTATCATACATGTTCACCTGAGACTTTGGTTATTAAATTTTTTAATTAGATATATGAGTTGTATGTATGCGTGCATTTTGGTGCTGCAATTAAAATTTTGTTAATCAAATGCTAAATATAATAAGATAGTATATAAATTTAAATATTTTAGAAATTTAGAATGAAATTCTTCAAAAATAGCACATAACATTTATATACGTGTATTTATTGTTTCTTTAAACAACATTAAATTTAGATTCTTATATATAAAATCCTTACTTTAAATTCTTCTATTAAACATAGGATTTTAGAGAAGAATATACTTTAATACCTTTCGAATGTCCGTTAAATGTTACAAAAATTAAAATATTTCCTTTACCATATACATATAGAATCTGTATTATGTACACGTTTTATGGAAATGAAATGTTATGTATTTATATATGTATATATAGTTGAAAATTGGAATATAATACAAGTACTATAATTTGTATAGATGTGCATAGTCATTACATTGCATCACTTCAAAGTAAAATGTAAATTTAGTTTACAAAGAAGTTTTGTATTTCTATGGAAATTCATAAAAACTATATAAAGTTAAAAAAATAAAATTTTATTCATATTCTCAATGGAATTTTCAATATAAATGAAGTTACTTTTGTAAAATAAAACGTGTTAATATAAAAAGCATTAAAACAGAACACACACTTTCTGCAAAGAGATTATGCAAAAAAATTAAGATAGATATTCTTTATTCTATACTTTTTAAGGAAGAATCAGGATATAAAATTTAATTTTTTAAAAAGTATACACTTTATGAGTTTTAATGATATTTTTTTTTACAATCACAGCTATTATATTGCTACTCTTCAAATCTTTTATTCTGTTTTTTCAAAAAACTAACAAAGAAACAAAAAATGAAAATTCTTAATTTTGTTAAATTTTTTAATTCACTCAGAAGCATCTTTGGGTATAATATGAAGGTAACACAATATTTTATTAATTAAAAATTGAAAAGCTGTAAAGTACTAAAATTTTCATTAGCAATTATAAAATAAATCTTCAAATTACTCAAAAGTAGTTTCAAATATTTATAAAAATTAATTCAAATTTTCCTAACAAGTTTACTTAGTTACTTTCCTAAAGAAATTGTTATATCTCTTAAGAATTGTACAGGGTAAAGTAATAATATGTAGTTCATGTTATAAAAGCTTATTTTCATTTTTATATCTAGTACTCAGTCGATTCTTAGAGAATTTATATTCTACGGGAAATAGAATTTTTAAAATTATATAAAAATCGAACTTTGGATCAGTTACAAGCATCCATTGTGCAGAAAATTTAGTCTTTTAAGGATCATAAAAATTTCATATTTTTTTCAATTCTCTTCGATTTTTTAGGTCGTCGTTCAAAATTTTATATGAAAAACTTTTCGCTTCGTCACAGGTTTTGCTGTGACAATAAGCAACTAAGCAAAACTAAGTTTTATATGAAAATAAATTAATGAATCGCAAGAGAATTTAAATTCAAATCTTAAAAAATTTTCGTGTCTGCTTTATTCTATCATTTCTTTATAATATTTATATGGAAACCAGAGTTGAATACCTATACATTTTATATATAGAAATAAACTCACATATATCCTATTTATATCAACATTTCTTTTGTATACATCCAATTGCTATATAACATGAAGGACTTATATATAACTTGAGCGCAATATTAACTTAACTAGCATTCTTATAAATTATTAAATCATTCGTAAATTATTTGTGGAAATACTTATGAAACACACACACACACAAAATTATATATACATATATATATACTTATATACGCATATTTATATACCATTTTAAATATTAAATATAAAGTTATGAAAAGGATCATATGAGACCAGCTAAATATTTTAAGGATAATCTTACATATTATATAATATTGTATGTGTATATCCTTGTGCATATTATTCATGTTTGTATATAGGTCTGTGTAAATTTTTTGTAGTTATGTTAAAAAAAAAAAATTATTTTTTTTTTAAGTAAAGCCTGCAAATAAAATTCTATAAATAGATTTTTCTTAAATTTTTCATTTTTTTGAAGGAGTCTCCATATTCTATACACATACATATACGGTTAAAATTGAAATGAAATTTGTCTGAACCCGTTAAAATATGTATGTTTGCATTACTGTGAAATACACTGTTTGTATTTGTATACGAAAAAAAAAAATAAATGTAATGTGTCTAATATGAGTAAAGTAAATTTAAAAAAATAATAAAAAAAAATAAAATAATGCAGTATGTATGTAATACAAGAGTAAAATTGTAAAAAGGATTTTTATGTAGTATTATTTTTTGTAGACAAACAAAAAAAAACAAAAATCCTTTCTAAAAGGAAAAACAAACCAAAGAGAAAAAAAATTTAGAAACTAAAATTTTCATTTGAATTTTTGTTACGCGTTGTCATTAATTTGATTTTCGAATTGTGTGCATAAAATAATAAGAATGTTAAATATTTTTGAAAATATTGAGATCACATTTATGATATTTTTTGCAACAGAAAACTTTAACTGCTTTACAATATTTGTAGATTGTAAGGAAACTGAGTGGGGCAGGACCAGCCTCTCGAGCCACCGCAGCTATTCCTGACTTCTCCGTCCCGTCCCAACTATAAGGCCGGAGATATCCCTAAGGAAATTGGACAGCAGTTCCCGAACACTTAGGAACCCATGTCCAAGGCAATTGCGGCGACGAACAGCCAGTGCCGGACAGTTGCAAAGGATGTGTGCGGCGGTCTCGTCATTGCCCCCACAAAATCTGCACAAGGGGAAGCCCGAGTTCCCCAGCCTATACAGGTGGTACTTCACTGGGCTTTACAATATTCAATATTTCTGCTATTTACTTTAAAATTTGTATCATAATATTTCAAGTTTTCAAAATAACCAAAAAATTTAATAATGAAAATCCTACTCATTAATTAAATATTGTAAATTAATTGCTTCCAAGAATATAATAACCTCGTAATACAAATAATCAATTGTTTAATTATTTTGGTTAAAGAAGTTGTGAAGATTGGCAATAGTATTATTTAAATTTTAAGAAAATAAGAGTATTATTGAATTTTTAAAAAATTACTCTTAACATTAATCTATTCTCATTTAAAATTTCAGTATTTTAATCCTTATTTATTAACAATATTATAAAAATTAATTCCATAAACTTTTAAACTTTTATAAATTTTTGATTGATTTTATGAAATTATGAAGAAGGGTAATTTGATATTCATATTTAATATTAATTATTTTTTATCAGAATTGTAATAAATCAATAAATTGGAGGGAATGAGGTTTATGATGATGATATTAATTACAGAATAATAATTTTGTTTTGATTACATTCTGTTACTGAAAACAAATTGGTAGTAATAAGGCGGTTTCATGTAATAAAAAAAGGTGCGCTGTTTTCATTAAATTAGGAATTTAAAAAATAAAATACAATTAATTAGCTATTACTAAATATCGTTTATTACAAGAAATTTTACTTAAATTTTTATTCAATTTACTCCAAGTTATTGTTTAATAATTCTAATTTTATGAGTTTTTATCAATTCTTATATACTATTGGTATGTTTTAATTTTGTAATAAATTATGAAAATGCTTTATTGTTTATTCATTCATCCGCTGCCTATATCTCATTCACGTTCTAGATATTGAATGCAATTTAAATTTTCGCCTGAATATATGCAATTTTAAAGTAAATTCTACATTACTCTTTATAAGTAAGATTGTATTTGATACAGAGAACTAGCTAGTGTATTCAAATAATAAAAACTCGTAAAGTTTCTTTGAATATAATGCTAAATTTCACAATTTTTTATTTATTAAATTACAAAATAAGTTTTTGATATACAATTATACTCAAGTTCTTTATCTTTTTTGTAAATTTTAATTTTTATCTTAGTTAAGCACTTTACTAAAATTGATTATATTCTGCTTGAATAAATCGCCTCTTCATAAAATATAAAGCTATATTATATAAAAGATTATAATATAAAGCTATATTTCTTTTGATCTTTTTAAAACAAAAATTAATTGCTCTAATTATTAAAGACTTAAAGATTTTTACTTTGAAACACTCAAAAAATAAATTAAATATGAGTGTATATTTGACCCAGAAATTTGTTAAAAAAAAACTTTTTAAAATTTTATTTTCCAACTTTAATAATATATAATACAAGCAATATGATACAAGCGTATAACATTAATGTCATGAATGTAATTTGCAATATACAAACTATACTGACCGCATAAATATAGCAATGTATGAAAATAAAGAATACGAGAATTTGTACAGCAAAACAAACTCGCCCATATATATAGCTCAATCACTTTTATTAGCAAATGGGACAATAAGTCATGACTGACTGTGGTCGCTAAATTGGAGGAAATACCTGAAACCATGTCTCTCTTCGGCAATAAAAAATACGTTAGCAAATAGAATTTTTCATTTTTAACAATGAAAATATCTGTATCTTATGTATGGAACTAATTGATTATGATCTACTTATTAAATAAAATTAATTGCCACGTCTTGGAAAAAGTTTTGTAAAATATAAAATAGCTACTATAATAAATATTTATGCACATATTACAAACAATATTCATTCCTGGAGTGAATTTGCATAATATGTTTAACTAAAATTTGTACCTTTAGACAAGCATTTTAGTATAGTAAATTTATCATTAGATTATATTAAAGCTCAATTTGTTTTAGTAAGACATTATTTTACTAGGCTAACACATAGAAAAGCATACGTGCGTACTGCTTTCAGTATTATTACCTTATAATTGCAGTTATAAACATATGAGTATAAAATATTTTTGTTTTATTTGCTTGTTATAACGAAAAAATAATAATAAGAATAAGTATAATAATAAGAATAATAAGAGTTCCGTTTATTTTATGCATTTTAGAAATCTTCATTCATACACATATATATATATACATATACAGACATATACATCAAAGTGTATTTATATATTGTATAAGATGAGGGCAACGACCACAGTTTGAGTATAAAATTTTTTCGAGTCTTAAACATCTTTACATAATTGATGGTTGTTGTCCTGCATATTAAATGTAGTAAAAAAAAAAAACCAACATTATTTTTGTTTTTACTTTTATGTTTATGTAATTTTTGGAATAATTTAATGGGTATAATTTATTCAACGTGAAATTATTTTGTTTTTATTTTGTAATCGTTTTCAAAATAACAAACTAAAAAATAAAACAAATAAAGAGGATGAAAGTAATTTTAATTGGAATATTAAAAGTTCATAATATAGAGATTATATTTTCAAAGTATACTTTTAGGTGCATTTTAATAATTCTGGGAATTGAAATCGTTGAAATTTTTTATATTATGGGTAACCGATTGCAAATTTTAAATTTAATATGAGATAATAAAGTTGTACAATAAAGTTAGGATACTAAAATAACCGCATTATTAGTTCGAAAAACTTTTAAATTTTTAAGATATTAAATCATGTTGATTTTTCTGGAACAATTTAAGAGAGAGAAAGAGAGATTGTGCAAGAAATTTACTAAAACTTAATTGGGTATTTGGTTTTGTAGAAGTAAAACAGAAAATCCGTAAATATTTGTAATATAAATGATCAAAATTTTATTGAATTTTGAATAAATGTTGATAAATAGTTATATAAGGGCAAATATAATCAAATATATTTTGAAGAACATAATATCTGAATAGTTTCAGATATTTTCAAGTATTTTACAGATTTTCGGAAAAGAGTTTATAATTTTTCTATAATCAATTTGGTTTCAAAATTTCACATGTTCATATTTTGACCTAACAATGACTGTTCACATTTTCGCCTAAAAAATATAATATGAAATATTTAAAAATTTATTATTTGAATGATTTCAAACCATTATTCTCATATAATGTTTATGACACAAATTACCATGCAACTTAAATAAAATTATAACTATATTATGTACGTATATGTGTATTATGTAACATTTAATAATATGTATGTAATAATATATTAAAAATTGAGAATTTAACATAGTTTTCATTATATATATAACAATTATTATAAAAGAATTAAAAAACACATAATGTTAGATCGTAATAAAAAAAAAGCAAAACTACCACAAAAATTATGAGCAACGTCGACATTTTTATAATATATTATGTAGTACAAGTTAAGAGGTACAAGTTAGAAAGTACAGTATATATATATTATAACTAATTATTTAATAATCTTACCATGATTACATGCATTTTTTATTCAAAGAACTACAGATGAGAACACTTTGTTTTTTTGCTTTTTTTCGAAAAGAAATTTATTTTGCAAGTAAAAATTATAATGGATTTTATTAGTTTTTGTAATAAAATGGAACATATAATATGGGACTCTTTTGAAAAAAAGTAAAAAAGTACTAATAAAATAGAAAGGAACTCCTTGTACTGATGGTAAAAAATATTAAAAATATTAAAAAATTTAATAAAAACATTTTGAATTAATATGAGTAAAAAATTCATCATCAGGGTGTCATCGTAAATGTTTATAGAACACCATGCTGAATCAGATAAAATATACGAATACAAATATACATATAACACCCACATATAATTTAACAGGACAATATTACACAAATTAGAGAGAAAATGACAGAGAAAAAGAAGAGATAAACAGAGGGAAAGAGAGAGAAAGTGAGAGAGAAATCCGAAAAAATATATTAAAAAAAGTTTGTGATTTTAATATCAAAAATTAATTTTAAAAATATTATTAAAAATATTCTTACATATGGAATTGGTTTTGAATTTGTTGCAATAGCTTGCACTGATGCCATAACTTATAAAATCCACTTTTTATTCCCTTTTTGGAGGGAGGTTTCTTGCTAGAAAAATTCAAATAATAAATTTCTTTTAAATATCTTTTTGAAGTAAAAAACACCCACTTATTTAACTTTTTTTTTTTTTCGATATTTTTATTTTTTTAAATATTTTTATTGTAATATGAAAAATAAGTTAAAAAAATTATCGAATTTATATTTCGTGTATGTTTTTACGCGAATAAAATCATTTTGAAACTAAATTTAATACAAGAGTGTATAGATAAAATTTCAAAAAAATTTTAAAACAAAAACCCCATTTTAGTATTATTGTCCTTTTCAAAATATTAAAAGATAATCAACAATTTTGTACCTATACAAATTTTATTTGGTTTTTTAATTAAAATTGCAAATTTTTATCAAAATAATTTCATATATATACATAAATTTAAATCTGTATAATATATGTATAATTTTATATAATATAGAAAACTTGCTAAATCAAAAAAATAATGTTTTCGAGGAAATTTAGTTTACGTATACCAGGAGATATAAATAATTCAATGGTACAAGTAAATAAAAAGTACACTCACATATTTTGCGATGGAATCCTAAAGTATGGCATTGACGCAAGGAAAATAAACTCAAAAATAAAGCAAATATAATATGAAGTACTCAAAATACTCAAATTTTACTGAAAAATGGCCTTTACTTACCAAGACAAAATCTGAGTTTAAGATTTAGTTTTTCAATAAAGGAGTAAGTTTTTACTTTTCTTCTAATGACTCCAAAATTAAGAATTAGGTTCAGTAAACAAATTTTCCCATATAATTGAAAATTCGAATTTCAAATAAAATTAAAATTCGACATAGGCAACTTTTTATATTTATAAATATATATGTATACTCGTATGTGTTTAGGCAGGAATTTCCGTACTTATATAATATTTTTGTAATATTTTGTATTTTGCATGTGTAGTTGAAATGAATAAATTCTTGTAGTAATTAGCAAAATTTTATTTTTATTGTTATTGCTAGCATTTTCATTATGCTGTATATTTAAAGGTCAGCATAATTGTTTCGAAAAGTTAAAATGTATATGATGTATATAAATAATAATGTAATTATTATACAAAGTTGAGGTATATCTATATGTATATAGATATATATACGAGTATTATAATATTTCCTTTATAATAATTATATTTCGAGTTTATCTAAAATTCTGAATATGTAATTCCCAATATAATACTTAATTTATTTTGTTTGATATTATCAATGTATATGTTAAAAGCAATTATGTATTCAGAATATTTGAATTATTATACAATTTCATTGGTGATTTTAATGTTGTAAAAAACTTATAACTTCTAAGTTCAAATTTCGATGAAATTGAGGATTTATTGAAAATATGTAACGTTATAACTGTAATATTTTGAAATATTTTGATATGATTTTCAACATATAAGAATTCCTGAAAAGAAGAATAAATTTTAGTTTACATTGCTCGTTCTTAAAGTTGACTTGATTTATTTGGTTCCACTTTTAAAAAAGTTTTCTTTTATAATCATACTTTTTGCTTAGAAAATGAAACAAAAATTTTCAATATAAAGATGTTCAGCTTCATTATGCGCCTTATACTATCTCACGCATGTTTGTAAGCATATTTGTATGAATTTTATTTATTTTGCTGTATTAACTTAGCCGGAACTAAAGTATTTCCCAATAGTTTGCCAGAAAAAAATTACTAAAATTTCATAGAATAATTGTTTGATGAAAAAACATTACTTTTCATTAAAATTCAAAAATATTTTGTTTAAAATTTTAAAAAATTGAAAAAAAAAAAGAAAATATAAAAAGCTTGATGTAAAAAAGAGAAAACAGCTTGACATTTTCATTATTTCAGTGTTAATGATTTATTATAAAAAATGAGTTTTACACATAGAAAATACAAATAAATAATTATCCATAAAAATATAAAATAAAATATAAATTCATAATAAGTATATGATTATGTAAAAAATAAATTGAAAATAACATTCTTGTATACTCAATTACACTTCACAATTAGATAAAAATGAATAAATACGTATGTATAGAAAAATATGCATAAAATACATATATGTATATATGTACGTTGATTTTAAAATAAAATTTACACAACTTACATATAAATTTATTATAGAGGATAAATAATTTTTTAAAAATTTTTTAAAGAACGAAAGGGCTGCAAAATATTTAGGTGATTCAAAACGTTTTAAAGGAATTTTAAATACTTGTGGTTTACTAATTTTCCTGAATGAAAAGCAAACAAATGCATTTAAGTTTCGGCTTCTTTCTTTCTTCAAATAGAACTAATTGAAATCAAAACAATTGGGTATTAAAATTGGGTATCAAAACAATATTAAAATGTGGACACAATTTTAATCAATCATATTATTCCTGACGCAACCACTATATCAGATATAACTTAGGGAATGGAGTAGCAAATTGTTTCCGGAGGGGTCGGTTGTCATTTCTTTATTTTTAACTCGGTTTCAGTTTTTGTTCTTTATTTAATATTATTCAAATAATTGCTTTGTTACATTTACTTTTATTTTTTAGCTTCAAAAGATAAAAATACTAGAATTTCAAAAATTGTCATTTTAAATTGAGGCTGCTGGAAAAATTTCATATAAAAATGAATGTGAAGATTTATTATTGCTTAAATTTATGAACGCTTCCACTTATTTTCTCATACAAATTATATATATATATATATTGTTACGTCACCACCATGTTTTACTCTGCATGACACGCTGAGTAAAACAGAATTGCCCGGGCATTCATCAATAAATTCAAATAAAGATTGCCCTCTACCGTTTCAATAAATAAAACCTTTACTTTAACATTTACTTGTTGTTATTTTTGACTAATAAATGACAACTTTTTCTTTTAACGTAATACGTTATGTAATATCCATTTGCAATTCATCAAACTACCTAAATTTTAATTTAATTGTAATGAGACACTAGCATTGCGCAAGTAATTATAAAAAAAAATAAAAAAAACATTTTTATTAGAATAATAAATTTTAAATAATAAGTGAAAATTGCCAATCAAGCAATTTTCACTTTTAATAAAAAATAGTATTGGAAATAAAATCGTGGATAATTTTTAAGTAGTTAGTTCGTAAGTGACCGCCAGTGGAAATGATAATCATAATAATAATAATAAAAGCTTTAAAACAAAAAAAATTTAAAAAAGAATTTTGAATAAAGAAAAAATTCCACAGGTAAAAAAGAGCAAATTTTTATGCGCAACCTTTTGAAATACGTAAGTGGCGCAGTTCGGTAGAGGATCTTAATCGCAAAGATCCAAAAAAAGAAAAAAAAAGATTCGCAAACAAAAAAATTTGTGCCTTGAAAACAGTCATAGAACTCAAAAAAAATTTTCCAAGTAAATTTAAAAACAATAAAAGAAAATTTTCGAAACTAAAAAATTTTTTCTTGAAATTTTGATCTTGGAAAGTGAAAACCGAAAGTCAACTATTCAAATAAAAGTAAAATAAGTATTATCCAAATAAAATAAAATTTAAACTAATATCTACAGAAAAACAAAAACTTTAAAGTGATCTAAAAACAAAACAAATAATATTATTTAATAAAAAAATTAAGATAAATAAATAACAGTCATCCTAAATAAAATAAAAATCTGAAATTAAAAATAACTGCATTAAAGTTTGAAAAAAAAAAGAACTTTAGAAACTACTTTTAATAAATCAAAAGTGGCATCTAGAAAAGAAAAAAGATTCGAGCAGAGATATCAAAAAATTTTAAATATGGCAACTAACGACGCAAATCCAGTCGTTCCATCTACATCAACCGTTCCAGCGTTTTCAGCTACCTCAGCTACTTCAGCCACTTCAGGTACTTCACCGTTTCAAGCTGCTCCACCCACTCCAACCTTACATCTGGAAATCGACCCGATGCAGTACATTCAAAATTTGCCAGAATTTAACGGTAAAGGTGAGGAACTTTATACTTTTTTAGAATTAGTGGACGATATTTGTCCTTTAATATTAAAATATGACACGAGTAGTCAAAAAATTTTGTTAAATAAAGTTAAAAGTAAATTAGTAGGTAATGCTAGGGAAGTGTTAGAAATAAATAACAATATAAAAAATTGGTCTGATATGAAATCCGTTTTAATTAATAATTTTAGTGGCAGTAGGACTGCTTTACAAATTTATGATGAATTGAGAGCAGTCACTTTTGATACTCATAGTGTAGACTTGTTCAATAAAATAAAAAAGATATTAAGGCAACTTAATAATAGGGTAAAGACTGATCCTAATTCCGTTTTTACAGTTGCCACGAATATCGAAACTGCTTTAAATATTTTTAAAGACAAGCTACCGGAACCAATGCGTTCTATTTTATATTGCAGAAATCCGGCTACAATCGAACAAGCCATGGATATTTTGCACGAAAGCAACTATGCATTTTATAGTCCTTTTAAAAATAAAACAAATTTCAACAAACCTAGTACACAAAACTTTTATAAGCCTACTAACGAAAATTATTCTTGCAGAAAAAACCATTCCAATTACAATAATTCTAATAATACTAACCAAACTAGAAATTATAATAACATCATTAGAAATAATCATTCTTTAAATAATAATTATACTAATCAAAATTCGCAAAATAATAATTTTAATCAAAATAGTAGAACTAACCAAAATAGTAGAAATAGCACTAACACTAGAAATAATTTTAGTTTTAATAGAAATAATTCTCATAATAATAATAATCTAACAAATAACAGTTCAATACAAAGAACAAATTATTCAAATTTTGGCTCACGTAGTACCCAACGGATCGAACCAATGGAGGTCGATACGAGTACCATACGTAGAGTAAATAACTTAGAGGTTCCTAAACTACAGGAAAACTTTGAAATAGAAAATTTTTCACTCGCAAGCCTCGGAAAAACATCGGAGCTTCCTTATATAAAAGTTCAATCAAAGGGAAGACCTTTAATATTTTTAATAGATTCTGGTGCTTCAATGAGCATCATCAACAC